CACACTATGTATGCCACTACGATTCTTAAATCTTTCAAACCAACCTTTGCTGGCCTTAAATTCACTCACATCACCACTAGTTGCAGGCAATTTCTTTACCAAATCGTCATGCAACTGCCTAGCCTTTTCATAAATGATCGCTTGAGAGATGCTATCTCCTGGTGTCTGTTTTTCATTTATCCACACCAATAACAGTCTCTCAACATTTTCTAACACTTGCGGTCGCTGTTTCGTAATCACAGTTGCACCTTTTGCAAGAACAGCTTCCTTGATTGCTGTTTTCCTGGTCACTATAGTAGAGATGGTTGATTGGGGTTTACTATACAACCTGACCAGCTCCGACAAACGCACTCCACTTTTGTACTTTGCAATTATCTCTTTCTTCATTTCAATAGTCATTAGCACCCTTGGTCTCTAAGGGTTGGCACTAGAAGCTTTCTTGGGGCCCATTGTGACTTATTTTGCAGAAACAAGCACAAAAAACAGTGATAATATGGATAATATGGAATGTACCGAATGTATCCTTAGATGCGCGCACACTGGCTGGCTTGTAAACACTGGCACACATGGGACAGTTTAGGCCACACGTGGACACGTCTCGTACAAATCGCATCGCATACTGGGTTTTGTAACGGGAACCGAGGCAAATTTTTTGCGATATAATGCATCGGTTACTGGATTTATCGGATACCGATAGCATCGCGAACCGGGGATCCACTGTATTAGTATGGCACCAACCCTGGCGTGCAAGCCGTACTAGTACGGCACCAGCCCTGAAAGGGCTAAAATGGTTAGAATTTGTTGTATACCCTGATACAGTTTTAATTTCCATATCTGAGTAGATGAAATTTCTCTTCACTGAACTTCATATTATTTTGAGTAACCCATTTGAAAATTTGGTTGATGACTTGAAGTCTTGCAGTGTCTTCAATGGAGGACACTCTCATGGCAATTCAGGTGTCATCCACAAATGAAGACGTGGAGCTATGGCTTACATCTCTATGTCAGATATGAGGATGAGGAAAAGGATGGGAGAGAGTACTGTGGAACAGAGCTTTTCACCATAGCTGGCTCAGACCTTACTCTGTTTACTCTTACTCTTTGTGTTCTATTTGTTATAGATCCATCTACCAACTTTTCCTGTTATTCCTTTATCACACATTTTGTGCACTATTACACCATGGTCACACTTGTCAGAGGCTTTTGCAAAGTCTGTTTATACTACATCTGCATTTCATTAATTCTCTATAACATCCAGGACCTTGTCACAGTGGTCCAATAGATGGGATAGGCAGGAGCAACCTGCTCTAAACCCATGTTGCCTTGGGTTGCGTAACTGATGGGTATCTAGGTGGTTGGCAATCTTGCTTCTCAGAACCCTTTCAAAGATTTTTATGATATGGGATTTTAGTGCTATCAGTTTGTAGTTCTTTGCAATTGCTTTACTGCCACCTTTGTATAGTGGGCCTATGTCTGTTGTTTTTAGTGAGTGTGGGATGACCCCTGTGTCCATGCTCTCTCTCCATAGAACGCTGAAGGCACAAGACAGGTTCTTGCAGTTCTTGATGAACACGGAGTTCCATGAGTCTGGGCTTGGGGCAGAATGCATGGGCATGTTATTTATTGCCTTTCCAAAGTCTTGTGGTGTTAGGATAATATCAGAGATTTTTGAGATAACCAGATTTTGGGTGTCGGTCATAAAGAATTCATTTAGATTGTCGACCCTTAGCCTAGGTAATGGCTCGCTGAACACCGAGTTGTACTGGGACTTTGGTATCTCACTCATTTCTTTGCTGTCATTTGTGAATGTTCCATCTTGCCTTAGCAGGGGCCCAATAATGGATATTGTTTTACCTTTAGATTTGGCATAAGAGAAGAAGTATTTTGTTTTGTTTTTTCAATTTCCTTTATGGCTTTTAGTTCTTCCTGAGATTCTTGTCTCCTGTAAGATTCCTTGAGCTTAAGTTCGATTTTGCTATTTGTCTGACCAGTGCCTCCCTTCATATTTCAGATACTGTATATTAGCCCCTTTCAGCAGCTCTGTGATTCTTCGCTTTAGTCTGTATAGGGAGTCTCTCTCTCTTTCTAGTTTACATCTTCACTTTCTTTTTCTTAATGGAATGTGCCTTGAGCAGACCTCAAGTGCCACAAAGTTAATTTTTCTAGGCAAAGGTTAGGATCCGTGTTGTTTAACCCTTAAACAGCCCAAACGTATATATACGTTCATCCACGCAGCACCCCAAATCTTTCTTTCTTTCAACACACCGGCCGTATCCCACCGAGGCGGGGTGGCCCAAAAGGAAAAACGAAAGTTTCTCCTTTTACATTTAGTAATATATACAGGAGAAGAGGTTACTAGCCCCTTGCTCCCGGCATTTTAGTCGCCTCTTACAACACGCATGGCTTACGGAGGAAGAATTCTGTTCCACTTCCCCATGGAGATAAGAGGAAATAAACAAGAATAAGAACTAGAAAGAAAATAGAAGAAAACCCAGAGGGGTGTGTATATATGTGCTTGTACATGTATGTGTAGTGGGACCTAAGTGTAAGTAGAAGTAGCAAGACGTACCTGAAAACTTGCATGTTCATGAGACAGAAAAAAGGACACCAGCAATCCTACCATCATGTAAAACAATTACAGGCTTTCGTTTTACACTCACTTGGCAGGACGGTAGTACCTCCCTGGGCGGTTGCTGTCTACCAACCTACTACCTAGGAGCACCCCAAATATTTTGAGAAAAAAAAAAAAATTGTTTTTTTTTTTATAGGAAAAAAGATCATGTGGTACCCAGGCATCCCCAATTTTTTCATATGGCACACACTGAGTGCGCACACCCATTCTCTCATGTCTAGGTGACTCAGGCCTATCATGCCAATGTTGAATGAATGACAAATGAAATGTATATATACGTTTGGAGCGCTACGCGAGAGAATGTATATATACGTTTGGACTGTTTAAGGGTTAAGATATCTTCCCAGCTTGTTTCATTTAGGACATGGTTGACTTGTTCCCATTGTATGTTTTTGTTACTGAAGTTGAATTCTGTGAAGACACCCTCATGATTGATCACATTTTGCTGGTCAGGAGACCTGTGCATACATGTCTGTACCTCCATTATGTTGTGATCTGAGTGCATTGTCTTTGATGTGGTTATATTACATATCAGAGAGTCATTGTTAGTGATGATGAGGTCCAGCGTATTTTCTAGTCTTGTAGGCTCTAATATTTGCTGGTTTAAAGTGAATTTGGTGCAGAGATTTAATAGCTCGTGTGTGTGTGAATTTTCATCTGAGCTGCCTCCTGGGGTGATCTCTGCTAAAATATTATTTGCTACACTCCTCCAGTTTAGGTATCTCAAGTTGAAATCTCCCAGTAGCAAGATGTTTGGGGCAGAAGTTGGGAGATTTTCCAGACAGTGGTTATTTTTCAAAAGCTATTCCTGGAATTGCTGGAAAGTTGCATCCAGAGGCTTGTATGCAACCACAATGACAAGGTTTTGGTTTTCAATCTTTACTGCCAAAACTTCAATGACATCATTTGTGGTGTTTAGTAGTTCTCGGAAAATTTATGAAGAGAAACTTTCATTTTTCTTTTTAGGTCACCCTACCTCGGTGGGATACAGCCAGTTTCTATCCCTGTTGTGCTTTGTAAAACTAAGAATCAATTGTGTTTCTGTGTCAATGAGCGCTTGAGGGATGTCTCTGAGGGCAAATAGGCCATTTAGTAAACCATCATTTAGCACTATAGGTAAACACTGTAGCCACCAACACCAAATAAACTCCTTCACTGTGTTGCCAAGATGATCCGAGTCCATGGAGCTGACAACAGTAGAGTCATTATACACTGTTAACCCTTTCACTGTCGGTCCCGTAATATTACAGCTTGTAAGCCAGCATCAGTCCTGTAATATTACGTCAAAATTCTAGTGGCTTCGAATTGTGCAAGAGAAAGCTGGTAGGCCTACATATGAGAGAATGGGTCTGAGTGGTCAGTGTGCGCAGTATAAAAAAAATCCCGCAGCATGCAGTGCATAATGAGAGAAAAAAAAACTCTGATTGTTTTTTTCATTTAAAACAGCAACTCTGCGGTGTATTTTCCTATAGTATTTATGGTTGTATTCTCGTTTTCTTGGTCTCATTTGCTAGAATGGAAGATATGTTACAAAACTAGAGATGATTTTGAATTGTTTATTGACGAAAAGCACCTCGAAATTGAGCTCAAAGTAGTAGAAATGTTCGATTTTTGCTGATGTTCAAGAGTAAACAAATTACGTCACGCATCCAATACACGTCAACTGGTGGGTCTAATATGCTTTCACATATGCACTGATATTATTAATACCATTTTTACAATAATGCAGTAGCCTGCATGACAGTAAATCTTCTATAATTTGTGTGAATAAAAATTCAAGATGGAAAGCAAGCATAATATAAGAGGGGCCTGAAGACATGTCTAATGAAGAAAGAAAATGTTACTTTAATGCTAGAAATGTTTTCATTGTTAATTCTGGACCCTATTTTGAAATTGGCCTTCCTTGAATTGAGTATGAAATTTGCCAAATTACCAATTTCTGATCACTTTGTTGGGTAGTTGAAATCGGTAAATAGGCAGTTTCTTATACATGTACTCAATCGATAGAACAAAAGGAGTTCTAGTGAAATAGCTATGAGTTTGGTCGACTGGAACAATGGAACTGGCTGAAAATAGGGCTCAAAGTGGGCAAAATCGCCAATGCGTAAATATTGTAGAGACCGCTAACTTCGCAAGAGTGTAATTCCGCAAGTTTTCCATCAAATTTCGTACTTTTGGTGTTGTTACCATCAAGAAAAGATTATCATTTCATAAGAAAAAACAATTTTTCTTTTTTTTTTAATTATTCAACTGAGAGCAAGTTTGTGAGCAGGCCGCCTTCGACAATGAAAGGGTTAACTTACAGCTGTGCTTGGTATGACTCTAATATATAAGGTTATAATATACAAACACAGACTGATAGTTTTACCTTGATCAACCCTTGTTGTTAAGAAGCGGAGGGCAGCAATTTCTGAGTAGGTGCAGCCTCCTATGAAGAACACCAGTGCTGTCCCACCTTCTCCTCCACTTTGTACAGATCCTCCTGAACCTCCTGGGTGGAAATATACAATATGAATGCATTAAAAAAGAAACGGTAAGTAATGTAGACTAAGAAGTTATAACTAGTGGTGAGAAGTGATATGAAATGCTACAGAAATGAACACAAGGATATCATGAGATATACAATTATAAGAGGTGGGCAACAATAATATAAGGATATTACGAGTACTGGAAATGGGAAGTACAATGCCTGCACTTTAAAGGAGGGGTTTGGGATACTGGCAGTTTGGAGGGATATGTTATATGTATATCTTTATACATGCTTCTAAGCTGCTGTATCTGGGCACTTCTGCAAAGACAGTGATTATGTATGAGTGAGGTGAAAGTGTTGAATGATGATGAAAGCATTGTCTTTTTGGGGATTTTCTTTCTTTTTGGATCACCCTGCCTCGGTGGGAGACAGCCAATGTGTGGTGTAAATATTATGCAGAAAATTCGGAGTGTGGAAATTAGGAAAAGGTGTGGAGTTAATAAAAGTATTAGTCAGAGGGCAGAAGAGGGGTTGTTGAGGTGGTTTGGTCATTTAGAGAGAATGGATCAAAGTAGAATGACATGGAAAGCATATAAATCTATAGGGGAAGGAAGGCGGGGTAGGGGTCATCCTCGAAAGGGTTGGAGAGAGGGGGTAAAGGAGGTTTTGTGGGCTAGGGGCTTGGACTTCCAGCAAGCGTGCGTGAGCGTGTTAGATAGGAGTGAATGGAGACGAATGGTACTTGGGACCTGACGATCTGTTGGAGTGTGAGCAGGGTAATATTTAGTGAAGGGATTCAGGGAAACCGGTTATTTTCATATAGTCGGACTTGAGTCCTGGAAATGGGAAGTACAATGCCTGCACTTTAAAGGAGGGGTTTGGGATATTGGCAGTTTGGAGGGATATGTTGTGTATCTTTATATGTGTATGCTTCTAGACTGTTGTATTCTGAGCACCTCTGCAAAAACAGTGATAATGTGCGAGTGTGGTGAAAGTGTTGAATGATGATGAAAGTATTTTCTTTTTGGGGATTTTCTTTCTTTTTTGGGTCACCCTGCCTCGGTGGGAGATGGCCGACTTGTTGAAAAAAAAAAAAAATACAACTATAAGAGGCAGGCAACAATATTATAAGGCAAATATGAAAACACATTACATTAATTTAAGACAAGTTTAAAGTACTGCACTGTATATAGTAATACTGTAGAGTACAAGTTATACAATGCATAAAAATAAAATAAAATTATATTCATATTTTTTTAACACACCGGTCTTACCTCACCGAGGCAAGGTGACCCGAAAAAGAAACACTTTCACCATCATTCACACTATCACTGTCTTGCCAGAGATGTGCAGATACAATAGTTCAGATGTCCCTCCAAACAGCAAACAACCTAAACCTCTCCTTTAAGAGTGCAGGCACTCCAGGACTCCAAGTCCAGCTAACCAGTTTTCCTGAATCCCTTCACAAAATATAACGTTGTTCACACTCCCACAGCTAGTCAGGTCCCAAAACCCATTTGTCTCCACTCATTCCTCTCTAACACACTCACACATACATGATGTATGTCCAAGCTCCTTGGACATTCTTTACTAATTAACAAGAGGGGTTAAAACTGGATGTGAAAATTTCACAGACTTTAAAAAAGGGAACAGTGCTATAGTACTAAGAAATAAAGTAATGAGACATAAAGCATTACTTCACTTATAAATACATTTACTGGTACTCATCCTCAACCTTACAGACATATCGTCATACATTGAAAATGCACACCAGAAGATCACGAATGTAACATGTGTCAAAAGAGAACTGCAGACTTACTCACAGCCAGGCTTGCAGCATGAACATACATCATGCTATAAAATACAGTGAGCAAATAAACTATACAGGAAATGATTTTCATATAATGTATAAAAAGCAATATAAATGTGGTAGGCACAATTAAGTACCCCACACTATACTCTATATAAAATAACTTTTCACAATGAGGTATTTTAACAAATTCATACACCAAATCACTGTCTTTCTCTACATTGAAATTCCACATTAGTGCACAGTGATTTTTCATGTTAAAGAGCTCAATGGAACTTGATTCTCAGTCTCCAGCCAACAAACACCATGAACAAGATATATCCTGCAACTATATGAATATACATTAAAGTATATATGAAACAAGTGGATTGTGGTAGGTATAACTAGGCACACTACATCATGTTCTGCAAAATACTTCTTGTTACTCATGTTCTGGGAATATAGTCTATAGTCAATACTAATCCTTATCTATACCATGAATATAACGAATATTATATTCATGGCACAGTAAAATGTCAGTGTGAATAACCAGAAAGTAGTAACATGTGAGCAACTGCTATGCAAACATAGTGTGGAGTGCCTAATTATACTACAGTAACCACAATCAAATCATTTTATACACACTCTGCTAAACATGAAAATGAACTTCAGTGGAAATATATTGGTGTGTGTGGAAGAGTACTGAGACACGCTGGAAGCCTGGGTTCAAATGCTGCAGTGCTCTTTGTTGACACTATTTTATTGCATTATCAAGTAAAAAAGACAAAAAGTATTACTTCTCTGCCTAAGGGCACTAGGAAGCTGCTGCGTCTCAGTGAGAGTTGGCCCTGGCAAAAGTTGAAGGACACCAGTAATCGCACGCCAACCTGGCCACTGCAAGAACTCCACTAATCGTGCACTCAGTGGGGCATACCTGTGACATAACATGTATTAAAACTGCAACTCATGAAATTGTTAATAACACTATTGCAAACAAATCATGGAACAGGTGAAGCTTAAACTATGACAAGTGAGTCCTAAACCTCACAGGCCAGTGTGTTAATCACTTGGCCAGGTGGCACTAATAAGATTCATCCAACAAGATATATTTCTACACACCTCCGGGAGGATAGCTTAGGCCCCACTGGGACCCAGGCCAAAATGAAACATCTCTATCCTTTATCACTTCTTGCAGTAATTCCTCAAAATATTCTTTTCAATCTAAGCCACATTCACAGTAAGATGTAACACTGAGTGGAGGCTATGTACATGACATGATATTCATGTAGAGTTGAATACACATATGTATATGACATTCTTGTACAGAAGCTGTTATTATTATTTTTATTCATTTTTAACACATCGGCTGTTTCCTACCAAGACAGGGTGGCTCGAAAAAGAAAAAATTTCATCATCATTCAGTACATCACTGTCTTGCCAGAGGCATGCCTACACTACAGTTATAAAACTGCAACATTAACACCCCTCCTTCAGAGTGTAGACACTGTACTTCCCATCTCCAGGACTCAAGTCCAGCCTGCTGGTTTCCCTGAATTCCTTCATAAATGCTACCTTACTTACACTCCAGCAGCACATCAAGTCCTAAAAACCACTTGTCTCCATTCGCTCCTGTCTAACACGCTTAAGCACACCTGCTGGAAGTCCAAGCCCCTCGCACACAAAACCTCCTTTGCCCCCTCCCTCCAACCTTTCCTAGGCCGACCCCTACCCTGCCTTCCTTCCACTACAGATTTGTATACACTCAAAGTCATTCTATTTTGTTCCATCCTCTCTACATGTCCAAACTATCTCAATAACCCCTACTCAACCCTCTGGATAATAGTTTTGGTAATCCAACACCTCCTCCTAATCTCCAAACTACGGATTCTATGCATTATATTCACAACAGACATTGCCCTCAGACATGACATCTCCACTACCTCCAGCCTTCTTCTTGTTGCAACATTCACAACCCATGCCTCACACCCATACAAGAGCATTGGTATAACTATACTCTCATACATTCCCCTCATTTCTTTCATGAATAAAGTTCATTGTCTCCACAGACTCCTCAGTGCACCACTCACCTTTTTTGCCTCGTCAATTCTATGATTCGCCTCATCCGTCATAGACCCATCTGTTGACACATCCACTCTTAAATATCTTAACACATTCACCTCCTCCATACTCTCTCCCTCCAATCTGATATCAAATCTTCTGTTACCTAATTTTTTGGTTATCCTCATCACCTTACTCTTTCCTATATTCCCTTTTAACTCCTTCTTTTATATACCCTACCAAACTCATCAACCAGTTTCTGCAACTTCTCTTCAGAATCTCCCAAAAGCACAGTGTCATCAGCAAAGAGCAACTGTGACAACTCCCACTTTGTGTTAGATTCTTTATCTTTTAACCCCACACCTCTTGCCAATACTCGAACATTCACTTCTCTTACAACTCCATCTATAAATATATTGAACAACCATAGTGACATCACACATCCCTGCCTAAGGCCTACTTTTACTGGGAAATAATCCCCCTCTCGCCTACATACTCTAACCTGAGCCTCACACTCCTCATAAAAACTTTTCACCACTTTCAGTGACCTACCTCCTATTCCATACATTTGCAACATCTACCACATTGCCCCCCTATCCACCCTATCATATGCCTTTTCCAAATCCATAAATGCCACAAAAACCTCTTTACCCTTATCTAAATACTACTGTTAACCTATGTGTTTCACTGCAAACAGTTGGTATACACACCCCTTAACTTTCCTAAAGCCTCCTTGTACATCTGCTATCCTGCTCTCTGTTTTATCCATAATTCTATCAATAATAACTCTACCATACACTTTACCAGGTATACTCAACAGACTTATTTCCCTATAGTTTTTACACTCTCTTTTGTCCCCTTTGCCTTTATACAAAGGAACTATGCATGCTCTCTGCCAATCCCTAGGTACCTTACCCTCTTCCATACATTTATTAAATAAAAACACTAACCACTCCAAAACTATATCCCCGCCTGCTTTTAACATTCCTATCTTTATCCCATCAATCACTGCCCCATGCACTTCTCCCACACTCACAACAGGTTCTTCCTCACTCCTACAAGATGTTATTCCTCCTTGTACAGAAGTAAAAGCATGAATTTTAAACCAAACATAGGCAATTCTATAAGTAATAATCATGCTAAGATATAAATTTGTTGAAAGTAATTAAGCAATTTGAATTTAATGAGGTGCTAGTAATGAATTCAAAGACAACCAACCCTGAGTGAACGTAAGACATGTCTGTGGGATCATGCTCACTGACATCATCTACTGTGAGCTGCATAGTCTTGCGGATCGTAGCATAGGTGCTGCGTCCTTGTTGAATGTAAAGGAGACCAGCTTTTTCCAAATTCTCTAGAGTGAGGAAATGTTCAAATCCATAGGTGTGTATTATATCTCTCTTGTAGTGCTCCAGAACCTTGGGCTTGAAGCCACTGTTGACTATACACTGCAGGCAGATTAACCTCAATACCTGTACCAACAAAATAAAAATTTGAATGTTTGTTTCATCACATGTTTCAACAGCATTTCTGACAGTGAAATTTGTAATGATAGCAAGTTGTTTTACTGGGATCAAATGTACTGTTATTAATATATTAGTTACTGGACAAAAGGAATTTATTATGAATGAACTGGTTTCAAGTTAGTCAATGAATATGTAGATCTTCAAATAAAGTCTTAAGATTAATTCAAGCTACTAAAATGGCTAGATTATTCACACAGCAATTTTAAGGAAAAGTAACAAAAGTGTAAGGTTATAGGTGGTAGAACAATTAGTCATAGATGCTTATAGAAGTACACTGCTCAGTAAATTAGTTAAGCTTCTTCTGAAGAGGATTGTTTCCTCTAAAGAAGAACAAGTCACGACACCATGGCTGGAAAAAAAAAATTAGCCCATAATTTGGAGAGGAAAATATAACAAATGTTGTGGTCTGTTTCAGATCATTATTGAGTCATGATCTGACAAAGATCCAGAAGGAACAAAAACTGTACAAAATGTTTCCCCTTCATATTGTAGATTAATAGTTATATGCATGATGCAGCACTAATTGGTGACCTTCTGCTGAATACTTTCCCATTCACTATCAATATTCCTTTACTTATGCTCTTCCCTTCATGTTTCTTTCATTTTACTTAAACCCACCCACCCCTACACAAAAAAACTTAAGTTTAGGAGGCAAAAAGTGCAGTGCCTGCACTCTGTAAGCTGGGTAGGGATGTCATGGTTCAGTTATTTGAACTGAGATGTCTACACACTTCTAGTAAGATCACTATGGAATGTATGATAGTGGATGTGTTTCCACTGAAAACGGTCAGTGTGGTGACAAAACAGCATTCACATAGACAATCATCTTAAGAGTATATGTTGGATTAGCATATCAAAGAGGTAGTTGGCCGTCATTTGTGCTGAGAATAAGAATAACTTCCAGTAAGGTTAAGAATTTCCTTAGAAAACATATACAGGACTGTATGTCCACTAGTGCACATACATGTGCATGCAAAAGTAAGAAAATATAAAAAAGTATAGGTACATATTACATGTAAGGGAAAACAAAATGGGAAAAATGGTTAATACAAGAACTAAGTAAAGATTGAGAAAGTGTATCAAACAGGTATATGATTCTGCAATATATAATTAGTGGCTTTCTTTTGTGCCTACCAATGTTTTATTACATGTAAACTACTGCATCTGTACTGCATAATGAAATAAATACTGTACTGTATTGTACAAATGACAAAAAAAAAATCATAGGACAGGCACCTTGTTGCTTCTGTCAATGCCATAATACTTAGATAATCAAGCTAGATCAGTCTCCTGCAAGGAGAATTTGTCAAAGCATTCACAACAAAAGTTGTATCATTCAACATTCACTTACTGTATTGAGAGACTCCTTCTGTGCTATGCAATCTTCTATAAAAGGGCTTATCTTATCAGTGTCTAGCCCTTTCAAAAATTCTTGTTCCATTTGTAATGCAGGTCGAAAAATACCTGATGCTATTTCTTCCTGAATTAATTCAGCAATTGTTGTATCTGAGGAAAAAAAAATATTTTGATATTTGGAACTTCAATGTAATTTTTTCAAAACACCTCATGATAAATATTCTTTAGTTACTGTAAATAAAGATTTATAAACTTTTAACTGCATTTCATACAATTCTCCCAAGGTGTCATCTTAAATGAAAATAAAAAATGCATATACAGTAATTTTTTTAAAACACTGGCCATCTCTCACTGAAATAGGGTGACCTCCAGAAAACTAAACCAATTCACCATCAATCATTCAAAGTCTTTTATTGCCCCACTGGCCATTTCCCACCAAGGTAGGGTGATGCAAGGAAGGAGACTCATTCATGCATTCATTCATTAGTCATCCTTAAAGAAGTGCACAAACATCACAATTCCAATGATCCTTCAGAACCACAACATTTCCACTTTCCTTCAGAGTGCAGGCACAGTACTTCCCACCTTCAGAACCACAACATTTCCACTTTCCTTCAGAGTGCAGGCACAGTACTTCCCACCTTCAGAACCACAACATTTCCACTTTCCTTCAGAGTGCAGGCACAGTACTTCCCACCTTCAGAACCACAACATTTCCACTTTCCTTCAGAGTGCAGGCACAGTACTTCCCACCTTCAGAACCACAACATTTCCACTTTCCTTCAGAGTGCAGGCACAGTACTTCCCACCTTCAGAACCACAACATTTCCACTTCCTTCAGAGTGCAGGCACAGTACTTCCCACCTTCAGAACCACAACATTTCCACTTTCCTTCAGAGTGCAGGCACAGTACTTCCCACCTTCAGAACCACAACATTTCCACCTTCCTTCAGAGTGCAGGCACTGTACTTCCCACCTTCAGAACCACAACATCTCCACCTTCCTTCAGTGTGCAGGCACAGTACTTCCCACTGCCAGAACTCAAATCTGTCTAACTGGTTTCCCTGAATCCTCTCATAAATGTTTCCTTACTCACACTCCAACAGCACATCAAGTCCCATTTACTCCAATCTATCATGCTCACACATGCCTACTGGATACTCAAGCTCCTATCCATCAATTAAAACTTTCTTCACTCATTCCCTCTCACTCTTCTTGAGACTTCTCTAACCCCGTCCTTCCAGCCACCTTGCATATATCCACCCTCTTGGTCAACCTATGCTTGATATATATTAGATCAATACATGTCATTATATGACTCATAATGACATGAAAATATTTTAAATGAAGGACCATTTAGAGATAATGAAAAAAATGCCTCTTCCCAATACCAATTATAAATACAGCCTCTCCTCACTTAGCAATGTACTCATTTACCGACGACTCGAACTTACGATGGGCTCTCTGACCAGTATGCGTACCTAAATAATGTATATTAGAGCTGATTTCCTCAATTCTGTTTATTACAATATACAGTAAACTACTGTATAAACATTTAAAAATATACTAAAAATGTTATAAATAGTGCAAAGGTGACATTAAAACAATATCAAAGATGGTTGACACAAACCCACTACCATTATAGTATGCTCCTCACTTAGCGACGAATTTGTTTACAAATGTGGTCTTGGAAACGGAACTCTGTCGTTAAGTAGGAGAGGCTGTATTAGTTCCATAACATTTAATGTGCTTAAGATATTCCACAAGTAAATCAAATGCAAATGCTATTTTTTTTATTATTAACACATTGGCCGTTTCCCACCAAGGCAGAGTGGCCTGAAAAAGAAAAATTTTCACCATCATTCACTCCATCACTGTCTTGCCAGACATGCACTTCCACTACAGTTATAAAACTGCAACATTAACACCCCTCCTTCAGAGTGCAGGCACTGTACTTCCCATCTCCAGGACTCAAGTCCAGCCTGCCAGTTTCCCTGAATCCCTTCATAAATGTTACCCTTCTAACACTCCAACAGCACATCAAGTTCTAAAAACCATTTGTCTCCATTCGCTCCTATCTAACATGCTCAAGCATGCTTGCTGGAAATCTCAAGCCCCTTGCACACAAAACCTCCTTTACCCCCATCCTCAAACCTTTCCTAGACTGACCTCTATCCCACCTTCCTTCCACTACAGATTTATACACTCTTGAAGTCATTCTATTTTGTTCCATCGTCTCTACATGTCCGAACCACCTCAACAACCCCTCTTCAGCCTTCTGGATAATAGTTTTGGTAATCCCGCACCTCCTCCTAATTTCCAAACTACGAATTCTCTGCATTATATTCACACCACACATTGCCCTCAGACATGGCATCTCCACTGCTTCAATCCTTCTCCTTGTTGCAACATTCACCACCCATATTTCACACCCATATAATAGCGTTGGTATAACTATACCCTCATACATTCCCCTCTTTCCTTCCATGGACAAAATTCTTTGTCTCCACAGACTCCTCAGTGAACCACTCACCTTTTTCCCTTCACCAATTCTATGAGTCACCTCATCTTACATAGACACATCTGCTGACACATCCACTCCTAAATATCAGAATACATTCACCTCCTCCATACTCTCTCCCTCCAATCTGATATCCAATCTTTTGTTACCTAATTTTTTTATTATCCTCATCACCTTACTCTTTCCTATATTCACTTTTAATTTTCTTCTTTTACATACCCTAATATGCTATGACATTAAAAGTGTAATAAATCATTTTAAATAATGAATTTATTTAATCTGTTTGATACATACAAGTATACCAAATGTAATTTCAAAATGCTGGATGCCTTGAGATAAATGGAAATGGCCTGACACTGTTGGATAATATTAGTTCTCTAACACTAACCAAGGGGCTGCACATCCCAGAAATTATACAATAAATTAAGCTAATACAACTATAATAAGAAACAAAGAGCCAACTTATCTATTTGCTTTATTTTTTAAATTCAGGATTTTTCACCACAATTTGTCGCTTTTTTAACCAAAGTAGGAAACACATTTACCATCATTCTCTAGCTGTCCTTCCAGAAATGCATGGGAATCACAATTCAGATGATCCTCTCACCCAAAACACCCCTACCCAAGAATAGTTAACATTAAAAACATTCATGGATAAAAAGTTACAAACGTAGCTCCTGTCAACTGTTAATTATGTAGTAGTAGGAGAGCAATCACACTGATAGGCAGTACTGTCCTGTGATTGGTGTCAAACAGAAGGCTTTTACAAGTTTACCACTTGGCCAGAACTGATGTTCTTTCCTTTATCTTGTGACCACGTAGGATTGGAGAATAATCTTACAAACGTCTACTTACATTTATTATCAATACCTTCATGTGTATTTCTGGTAATACAGTATAGCGACTTTCTAATTTAGAAGGCCTAGTGCGAGAACGAGCCGCAGGGATGATGATCCTTGGAACCATTAAAAGGTAGTAGTAAATCATGTGCTCAATACTCACGTGTGGCTACTGACTGCTTGTACACCTCCATCTGAGGAATCTTCTGAACAAACTGCTTTAACTCTCCTACAGTTTTTGCAGCATGACGTTCCTCATACTGAGCCACTACAGACTTAGCATGGCGGGACAGGCGTGGTCCCACTGCTGAGAAGTTGCAGTCCCTGATCTCTGCATAAAGTACTTCTGATGAGAACAGTTGCACTGTTTTAGTTTCCATAAATGAGTCATCAGATGTATTAGTGTCTGAGCTAGTCTGTGCAAACTTCTCACCCGGCAACTTCACAGTACCTAAAATTATTTTAAAAAATTACAACACTCATCTCGCATTTCGCATTAAAATACAATAGTCATCCTTAATTACTACTTACCAAAACATAATATAATGACATCAGTTAATAAGACAAATATGTTTATTTTTATTTACAATTAAGAGACTTCGACAATCTTATATTCTTCAATTTTCAGTATACGTATCACTTAATCTGAAAGTTAAAGTAAATGTACTTACTCTATGTTCAAATTTTTAAATATAGGAATACGAGTACAGTATCTCCTGCATAATGAATGTGATTAGGACATAAAGAATAAAAAGGCACAATACTGTAGTTAGAACACAACCCACACATTCATTCTCCTATGTGCAGGCTATTCCTGTATGATTATAACATTTTAAAAAATAATACATAGACGAAAAACTTACCAGTAATGATGCCATAAAACTGGTCTATGAGGCCATCATATGTTAGCTGTGTTGCCAATGGTGTGATCAGATCAACTGACCGATCAATAAGGATTAGCTGATCTATTTGTGGGGTTACCTGCAAGACAATAAATATTCAATACTCTGCATGTCTTAAACCTGGATGAAAACATTTAAATTAACAAATACATGAGTGAGAAAATCCATGTAGTGAATACCCATTCATGTGTAGCTAGTATTAAATTACTAGCATACTAAAAACATGAGCACAAACTCATATCATATGCAAAAACCTAGCCTTAACCTCAGACTAACTTCTTTTAAATATATGAATACATTGTGGCAGCTATGCCTCTTCTCCCTAGTGTTTTAATGGTATTCAAATCTCAATTTTTCAAGTGGTCACCCTGCCTCAGTGAGAAATGGCCGATGTATTCAAAAAAAAAAAAATCAAGGAATTCTAATTTATAATGCCATTATTTCGACTGATAATCATAACATTTCTCTGATCTAAATGGTGTCATCTTCTGAGGTACATAATACTCTATTTTTAACAACAACTAACTCTACTGAAATCTCGCTCATTATCAAAACACTAAAGAACAAGGCAGGAGACCTAAATAACTTACCACCACTTATGAATAATAAAGTTTCTCATATACTGTCACCAATTATTGCAACTCTCTTTAACAAATCCATTGAATCTTCCATCTTCCCATCTATTCTCAAGACAGCAAGGGTTACCCCGATCCTCAAAGGAGGTGATCCAAATGATTTGAACAACTACAGGCCTATATCGAACTTGCCCCTTCTATCTAAAATCTTTGAAAAATTAATTCACAAACAAGTCTATTCCTACTTAGTTTCCCACAACATAATCAACCTGTCAGTTTTGATTCAGACCGAAAAAAAGTATGAATGATGTAATTATACACATGCTAGAACTAATATATATGGCACTCGAAAAATAAAAAAACTCCCCTGGGAATTTTCACTGATTTACGTAAAGCTTTTGATACAGATGACCACAACCTATTGTACCAAAAGCTCATTATGGGATCAGAGGACACTCTCTCAATTACCTAAAGTCCTACCTTAGCAACAGAAACCAGTATGTATACACAAATGGAGCTAACTCTACTACATAAACTGTTTTTATTGGTGTCCCACAAGAGAGTGTCCTTGGCCCACTTCATTACTTCAAAATTAGTTGCTTAAAGTTCATTGCATTAAATATTACTAAATTGTAATAATTATTAACCCTTAAACTGTCCAAACGTAGATCTACGTTTTTTCAACATTTGAAAAACGTAGACCTTCTTTTTTTTTTTTACATTTGAAAATGTGTAAAAAAAAAACCTTGATCTACGCTTTTTTTTGTTATATTTGAAAATATGTAAAAAATGTAAAAAAACATAAAAACTTTTGGAGAACTACGCATGTGAACATAGATCTGTTTGGACAGCTTAAGGGTTAATTCCACTTAATTGTTCAAAATTATACTAAATTGTAATAATCTCATATTGTAACTTGTTTTTAAACAGTCCCATTGTAATACAGTGGACCCCCGGTTTACGATATGTCATTCCAGAAGTATGTTCAGGTGCCAGTACTGACCGAATTTGTTCCCATAAGGAATATTGTGAATTAGATTAGTCCATTTCAGACCCCCAAACATACACATACAAAACGCACTTACATAAATACACTTACATAATTGGTCGCATTGGGAGCTGATCGTAAACTGGGGGTCCACTGTATTCCCATATTGTAAATTAAGTCCATTTACTGTTGATATATAAAAAATCAATGTTCAGTTCGAACTATGATATAGAGTGGTACCTCGAGTTATGAACTTAATTCGTTCCAGAAGGCTGTTCGAGTGCCGATACTGAACAAATTTGTTCCTCTAAGGAATGACGTAAATTACATTAGTCCGTTTCAGACCCCCAAAAATACACTTACAAAAATAAACTTACACAACTGCTCGAGTTGGGAGCTGTATATGTCTAGCATTAAGTAGTCTGTAAAGGATTAGGTTTAGTCTGCCCAAAATGCCTCGACATGATAGTGGCTTTCTTTGCACTTGCAAATCAATATTATAATTATACATTGTAACCTATGCATTACAAATAGACTCCTTATAGCATGTCAGTCACACATTGTAAACTTTGCAAAGAAATAAAAATTTGAATTTGAATTATATAAGAAGCAGTAAATTTATGTTGATCATTCAGAGCAAGGAAGTACAGTGGAACCCCGCTTTACGATCACCTTGTACGTGTATGTTTGGGGGTCTGAAATGGACTAATCTAATTCACAATACAGGTCATCACAAATCCGGCATCATTGGGGCCTGTAGTGTGCCGGATTACTGAGTTTGCCGAATTACAGAGTGGTTAAGTTAGAATACACTTAATAAAATTAACCAACTTGACTTACACAGTTCAGTGAACATCGGCAAAAATCAAACATTTCCGCTACTTTGAGCTCAATTTCAAGGTACTTTTCGTCATGAAAGCAATTAAAATCATGTCTATTTCTGTAATATATCTTCCATTCTATCAAATGAGTCCAAAAAATGAGAATACAACCATAAAAACCATATGAAAATATACTGCAAAGAGGCGGCTAATGGCTGAGAAGTGAACTCCCTTATTTATCGTCCGTCTTTTTTATTTTTGTTGTACGTTAAGAAGCATCTTTCCATCATACATTGCCCAAATTTCAATGAGATAGCCCAACAAACAATCGAGAAAAAAAAATATTTACCAAAAATCATATATGGCAAGCCCAAGCCAGGTACTGGAAATAAGTCACTTTGTCTGACTTTTCTGGGTTATCCTAGGTTCTCTATACATACACTGCTATGTATGATAATCTATGTAACTGTATTTGTGTATACCTGAATAAACTTATTTACTTCTAGTCTGTCAACTGAGTACAAGAAACTGCCCATTCACTTATTTCAACTACCCAATAAAGTGGTCAGAAATTGGCAATTTGGCCGATTTCACACAAATTTCAATAGATGCCAATTTCAAAATAGGATCCAGAATAAACAATGCAGACATTCCTGGCACTAAAATAACATTTTCTCTGTTCATTAGTCACGGCTACATGCCCCTCTTATATTACTCTTGCTTTTCATTTGGAATTTTTATTCACAAAAAAAAAATAGAAGATTTACTGTTATGCAGACTACTGCATTATTGTAATAATTGTATAAATAATGTCAATCCATTCTTGACCCCGTACTGGAATTTGGACTGGCAGGTGGACAGGTATTGGACGGTGACGTCATTTGTTTACTCTTGAGCTTCGCTAAATAGAACATTTTCGCTACTGCGAGCGCAATTTCAAGGTACTTTTTGTCATGAAAGCAATCAAAATCATATCTATTTCTGTAATATATCTTTCATTCTATCAAATGAGACCGAAAAAATGAGAATATAACCATAACATCCATACAAAAATATACTGCTAAGCGGCCGCTAATGTCTGAGAAGTGAACTCCGCTATTTATGGTCTGATTTCTTTCATTTTAGGTGTACGTGAAGAAGTATCTTTCCATCATACATTGCCCAAGTTTCAATAAGATAACCCAACAAACAACTGAGAAAATAATAATAATAATATAATAATAATAATAATAATAATAATAATAATAATAATAATAATAATAATAATAATAATAATAATAATAAAAATAATAATAATACACCTACCATCCGACTTGCGACCTGCTCGACTTACGACCACTCGACTTACCACCGTGTTTTTTACGCCAAATTTCTGGGAAATAAACAACTATTTGTGTTGTACACAGTGTTTATCCTAAACCTTACAGTATAAAATACAGTACTAACAACATAAAAAGTAAAGTAAAACATGAAATACCAAAATAAAACAATAAAATAAAGTCATTACAAAAATTTTAAGCCAGCCCGTAATGCTATGCATATAAGTGGCTTTGGCATGCTGCTCTTACCTGTATTTTTTTGTACCTCTGTACGTATGCTAAAATTTATAAATAAATAAATAAATAAATAAATGTTTTGTTGATATTCAGTAATAAAGTTCGACTTACAACCATTTCGACTTACAACTGGTTTCTCGGAACCGAACTCGGTCGTAAGTCGGATGGTAGGTGTATCTTTATTTACTACACATACATGTACAAGGTATACAGGCCTAGCTAACATCAGTGACATACTACTGTATAGAAAGGCACTTGTTATGCTGAGTATTTCAAGAAAATTAGGTCAGTGTCCCAGGATAACACCCACACTAGTTGACTAACACCCAGGTACCCATTTACTGATGGGTAAACATAGACAACAGGTGTAAAGAAACACGCCTAATGTTTCTACCCTGGCTGGGAATTGAATATTTACCAAAAATCATACATGGCTAACCCAAGCCAGGTACTAAAAATAAGCCACGTTGACTTTTTTGGGGTTATCCTAGGTTCTCTACACATATGCTGCTATGTGTGATAATCTATAGAGAGAAAACAACTTTTTTGTTTCATGTTTATGGTGGAGTACGAATATATATCATAGTTAGCCCTGTGCTACACTCCATTTTCTCTAATATAAGCCACCAAGACAAGGATAGGAGAATGGTATTTGTTTACCATATCCTCTTCATAACTCAAATTCAAATTCAAAGTTTATTCTCTATAAGGATTACAATGCTGAGTTTACAGAATTTGGTTATTGTGTGGTTTACATGTAGTAAAATAATAATTACAGAGTGTACCACTAGAACACCTAGCATGGCTAGGCATTTTGGGCAGACTTAAATTAAATCTTAAGTTTAAAATATTACAAAATTATGAGGTAAGTTGGTATTATGGCTAAGTGACTAAATACTAGTTTGTGAGTTTAGCAATGTGAATGCTTTTGTTTTGGCACAGTACATAGTTTCAGTATTGGAGTATCACAGGCCAACTTATGACTAGTTAAGATTCATTATTTTGAGATTGAGACTGATATTTCTGTTTATGGTCAAATGGGTGAGTGAGTGTAAGTGTTAACCACAAGGTGGTATTCGTGTAATTAGTTGACAGGGTGTATCAGGGAGATAAGATGTTTTCTGATGGTAGTTTTGAAG